GCTTATTTATAACAGTAGCATCGATAAGATTCGATGGGCTATTTATCCTCGAACAAGTTAACTCTTAGTTTTTATCTTCTTGCACCTAAGTGAAATTCATAGAATCATCGGCGGCTAGAAAATCCCATTACTTAATGTAATCTATAAGCAGTTTTGCAACATTACTAGCTAATTTTACGTCTATAACGGAACAGATTTTCCGACGCAAATGATACTTAGAACTGCATGATGACGTAAAGTAAAAAAAAAATGTGTATTTACAAAGTAGAGCAATAAGCAAACTTGAACCTCCTGCTGTGTCAGACACGTTTGCTATGCATAGCTTATTTATAATTGAAAATTCTATAAAAATCTAGCATATTAATCAAAATGTCTCCCCGAAATCATATGATCTTCCACCACTTAAGTCCAACGCCAGTGCTCTTCAATGTAAAAACTACCCGCACTGCTCTTTCAGCCAGAATGTGTTATACTACATCTTTTCGCGCCACAGTGGAACCACGAGACATTGATATTCACTTATAATAGATAATAATAATAATTATTTCTGCTTATCAAATTGGCGCTATAGTCGTCTGTCATTGACGGTAACTCGAAGCGTGCGGTGGTGCCCAGCGACTTCGTTCTACCAGACCGACCTAGCCGTCCGATTAACCTCACCGTCCCCCTGCTTGACCCCTGGCTAGAAAAAAAGACCATATATTATAAAAAAGAGACTGACATCAAAATCTAATCCAATTTATCGTTAAACAAAAGGTTATGAATATTATTATTATTATTATTCAGTGGAAATTAACTAAATTACTCAAAATCCGTAGCATACGCATTGTATAATTTGCATCGGTTTTTCAAAATTTCAGACTTCCCAGCGGAGAAGTTTACCGCACGCCTAAATAAGTGCTTTGAGTATTATGGACATTATTGGAACCGTTAGCCATTTACCGCACATTCTGATCGTATGTGCGATCGGACGTAAGTACTCTGACATGACAATTTCAAGAATTTCCAACCTGTCGATTTACTGGCCCAGTGGCTGTATCGTACGAGAAATAGTAGAAAATCTGTTACTTCCGATACTTCCATTGAAAAGAACAGTGACGTGGGACTGGTAGCTCGCCATACGATCCAATATGCTTTGTATGGGGGAAGTACGGTTGACAACCGTATTTCCGTAACATCATTTCAGTATTCTATCGATGGTATTTACTACATTGTGGCAGGGCTTATTTTTTTCCGTTTATCATTCTACGACAACGATCGCTGTAGCTTTTTATGCTATATATACATATATAGGCAGGACATCGTTGTATCCATCGGCACGTTGTTGAGCGGTTGAAGAAAATCGCACAGTATAATTAGTGGATTTTCTGTCGTCTGTTCTGCGCCAACAAGACACGACAGCAGCAGAAGATCTGATGTCAGACTCCACTGAAGCAAAGTAACAGCCGACGTAAATGCACCGTTTCTGACGTTCAAGGTCACCGCTCCTTTCAGTGTTCCTTTAAGATCCAGAGCCACTGTATTAAAAGGAAAATATACGTAAATAAAAAAAGCTAAAATCTAGCAATTTTCTAATACATAAACACATAAGAACTGTCTTACATAATTTGCGATTCAGTTTGAAATTGTGGGATACGAAAACATATTTACTGAGAGGAGCTATATTTCGTGTTATTCGACCAGAGGAAAATCTACTTGGATAATGAATTGGTATTTCTTGTAGCATAGCGAAGCACCGTGGTCATACGCTGTACTGGCCCGCTAGTATTTTATTATAGGAATAATTCACAAACTTGTAATAGCTCTCAAGTAATACACTATTGGAGACGAATACCAAGTGATCCAGATTTAAGTACAAAGACAAATTCGGGACAACTGTGGCCTTTTGATTGGCCTTTTGTTTCTGAAGAGAAACCCCAACACGGCGTCAAAGTCAGATCACGTGCGCACTCAGCAAAAGCAGCATTGTACCTCCGATATAAGCACTAGATACAAACGGAACAACAATTTAGAACAAATGAGAAAAGCCCAGTTCTAGATAATAACAGTGTCGTAATAAAACGTTGCGGCCAAAAGCGTCATCAGCTATTCGCAAGCCAATGTTCGACACACCCGACTGTGATCGCCACTAACAAGGCTGTTATATAAATGGCAATCCTTAACAAGTCGAATTAAGGACGTCGATTACACGGACTGGGTCTCGTAAATACTTCAGCAAACATACAGTATTAGCCGTTATCTTCAATGAAGAGTTCATCTATAGTTTAATACCCATAACGATAACGATACGGAGACAATCAGAAAGCAGCTATTGAGTAGCGTAAATAAGCTAGACGAACCACTACGATATGGCGGCAAAACCTAGCTCAAGGCCGATTTTGCCAATACAATCGAAACAATTGATAACAGTCGATTGTTTTCCATATGGATATTGTAAGCTGCGACGAAAAATACGAAATCAATTGTTTTGCCTATGGGTGGTCCTTTTTGTATCCTAGGAGTGTCGAAATATATGATCGTATAACAGATGTATCTGTATTGTTTTATCTGTTGAAGGGGAATTTTGATCATTTAATATTGTCTAACTATCATACCATATTTGTCGAACCATATGTATAAGTGCATCATATAAATAATGATGACTAATGACGAAGCTGCCTCTTTTCGAAGTCTAGGGGCCTGCTGGTTTGTGTACTGGCGAGCGGACATGAAACCTGACAAGGTTCCATGGTAATCGTTACATGCGAAAAGTAACGCATATGAACTAGGGCGTAAAGAAATTGCAAACATTTGATGACATAAATGTCTACGCGTGAGAAATAAGCAGCTATCAATGTCAGCAGCTCTACCTATCGGACGAGTTTCGGAACATAGTACTTGGCAATCGTCGTTCGTCGAACTACAGGCCAGAGCTTCCCATGGCCGAACACGGACTAGCTCAACGTGAAACAAAACTCTAGGCAAGACTAAATTATTAAAAACTAGGTACAATCGAAAAGAATCTCACAATTTATTCAGACGGTAAAGTTAATCGAGCGGGTAACTTGAAAGGCGCGCACCGACCCTGTATTATGTAGCGCCGGCGACTAATATAACAAGCGCTTTTCTACAATATCTCTATATTTCCCTAGTCGGCTCGTTACATTGATCCAGGACGTTGCTAGCAAAGTTAAGTCGACTATCTTCCATTCAACTTCACTTCATCACAAAATATCGCTACTTGATATATCGCTTGCGAGACGCGTTTATGCCTATCATTGTACTCCAGTGATTTTGAGTTTCCTCTTCACAGATAAGTTTATATCTGTGTCGTGCTTCTCAGATTCTGAGAAGAGCATTTTGTCTATACAAGCAGAAGATAGCTATTGTGTGTATGCAACCGCGATACCGATCGTGGGGCGGTCGATAAGGCAGTAACATAGCTCGTATCATAAACGAGAGGTTTCGTGCTCAATTTTCGACATCTTTACGGGTCTCTTTCCCATAAAAGTATCTTTTCGTCTTTTAGAGGTTGCGTGGCTACGAGGCCGAACCCAGAAACCTTAAAAGTTATCGAAAGGGATTCTGAACCTGAAAAGTATGACGCGTTCGAGGCACTCGAAGATCAGCCTAAAATACAGTCAGGATGGGGCAAAGGCAGACTTACAGTGACGGGGAGCGTACGTTTAGGAATGGGAAAAAATAAACTTCCGATTAGGAAAACAATGTTTTTCATTGATACGGATTCTATTTTAGGTATGGATCCTCTTGCATTATAACTGTAAGCTTACTATTTCATTACTTGAGTCGTTTTCTATTGCAAGTCTACTCGCTGCAAGGCATACGATCGTGCCATTTATCTAGCCATGAGCATCGGCACCTACCGAGCTGTGCACCATGTCGCTGCGTAGATATTTATAAGTAAGCACACCAATAGCAGTATGTAAAATAAATCAATTCGTCCATGATTAGGCTAGCCAGGCTGTATGCAGACGATCAGTAAAATCAAAATACAGTATTTACTATTGCCACGTATCTGTGGCGCACGTAAGAAGACCTCTTGCTACCCTGATTAAATAGATGATAGTGTTATATATCATTTGCTATCAAAAATTCATAGTATTTTAAGAGAAAATACCTGGCCAGTTTAAAGTTATGTATTTATAAAGCTTAATATCAACAGCTTAACTGTACTATCAAAACAAATTGCTATTTTATTAGGGTCAAATGTGATACATTAAGAAAGATAAGGTTGTCAACAAATCTCTTGGTCCATTTGCACGAGGGCACTTGCTTCGCAGAAACAAAGACGTTGCTTATCTTTAATAGAACATTTAAATCAGACGTGCATTTGGCGTTTATCGGGGAACGATTTCTGTCTAACTGAACTCGTTTTCGGCAAAACAACACATGTTTTAAGGTATCGGATTGATTGACTGATAATATTTAGTGCTAATTTGGGATGTGCATTAGGGAAGCGTTCTCTTCTGAGAGCGCAGCTGTCACAACGTACGCAATCATGCAGAAACGCAGACGGAGTGCAACAAAGCACAGAGGCCAGCGAGCTAGCCGACCTGTTGTTCTGCTATATATAGATTATTGTGATCAGGATCACTTTTGTGCTTATTAAAATTATGAATAATGAACGGTTTGATTAGGGGGAATGAACCAAGGACTTCCTCACTAAAGAGGTCTACTTTTGCTGATTAGGTTCGAATCCATATGTTCCGTGTCGATGTCTTATCACGCGTAACGCTTCGTAAATATTCGGAAATTCGGGCCATACAATCATCAATCGTATAAAAAAACGCAAAAAAAACGCAAAAAAAATAAGGATCATAACGCCACTATCTTACACATTTTGGCTAATTGCATTACTTTAAAGGCTCTCCAGAAAAAAAAACACTCCCACCCGAAAAGGACATTGATCGTCACTGTGGCGCCCATATATTTATGTACAAACGGCGTCTAGTGACCTGGACGAGATCTCCAACACAGGATTCACACTTAATTTTACTCACCTCTAGAAACCAAATGGTCCGGTTTTTTTAATTAAGCCATTTTGTCATTGCAGCAACGTAATCAAGCTCATTGGGTTTAGTCGGAACACGTATAACGCGAGCTGTTTGCTCGCCAAAGTATCGGTTATGTCATTGCGTACTCTCATTACACAATAAGCACATCCATCATCGTGACGCTCGCCGTGGCTTTTTTTTGTTATTTGCATCCCCTATAAAAGGCACGTTTTTACATGCTGGGTCCACATGCGTCTTGAGCAAGCTGCAGTACCGTTCACGTATGTTCTATCAAGCCCAAACGTATTCAACGTACTCAAAGGGGAACAGATAAAGCTCGACAAACAACGACCATCCGCTAGAAGCAATACACACGTATTGCGTATATCAACAGCAAGATGTCTATTGGCCAACTACGGTATAAGCGTCGCAATGTGACAAATTTTTTTCGCTAATTCTCTATAGAATACGAACACTTTTCGCTTGCAGATTAAGGGCTTGTAGAGATTAAAGTTGTTTTTCTATTTCACTCCTTTTTCTCTGGCTTAATGTATCCGTATTTTCATATAACACTCACACATCGTCTATGGACAAACACCGTTATATCGAACCGTTTTTATATTTCTGACTAACACTATTCGCTGTCAACATGTGTAATGGGTGGTTGATGATGATGATGGCCCAACTTCGGTACATTATCTGTTGGGGCTGCTATCAGTGAACTTGCGTTCGGAACTTCCATTCGTTGACAAGACGTACTTAGGTTGTAACCGTCGCTTGAAATTTACTCTGTGACAATAGCTGAAGGGGAGGACAGAGGTCCCAGTGCATGGGCGATATTTTGTATGTTCATTCAGGCCGATAGGGGAAAAGGAAACTTGGAGTGAGGGTCTAGTTTGCTTTTTATCTTTGTTTTTGCCCACGTCAAAGACCTAAGGGACGGCCGATAAACGAACTGGGCTGGCTTGCGTTTCGCGCAAGGCGTTCAAGCGCAAGCAGACATTCGGTCGCAGAAACACGCCCTTGTGGGTTACGGTACAAATGTAAAATTCATGACCAGAAGCTTTATCTAATAATGTGTAGGACGTAACTTATAACTAAGCACAAACTCCTCATTACTGCCGATTAACTTTTCTAGCCTAGAATTGAACTGTCCATTGCGTGTGATTTCACAGTGCGCATCCAAAACTTGAATCATCTAATCATCTCCATACAAGGCCTTTCGCTTGTCCGCGCTAGGACGTCAAATAGCCAACGCTGATCTAATTAAGCTTGGTAGCTTTACCTAGCGACTTGATCAGCTCTGAGGTGTCCACGCGATTTATGTCGTGTTGTTGTCGTCTCTCTGCTCACTCCGTATAACTTTTGTTAACTGTCAGACATTAGTGAAATTGTCAGATATACTGGCGTTTTTCATACACATAAATTCTTTATAGCATTTCGTGGATAGCAAACCAGCACATAGATATGAACTGTTTGAACCTCAGCACTCTATCGCCTGAAACTATTCCAGTAGCAGTAATCACCCGTTCTACAACCTGTTCCACTAACGTTTTCCGTAGCGTTTTGTTCTTTGGCCATTGTACTGTCGTTGTAGCGCGTTCTGCTAACGATACATCTTCCACAGCTCTTTAAGTAACAGAGGCTTCATTTCTCGCCAGCGGCTGAACGCTACTTATCCGACACCGATCCTATATACCACGAACGTATCGCCGTACGTCGTTAGATCTCGAAACTCGGATCTACGTCGCGTTTTGCTGGCACCGGCCCTCTATAAACAGAGTCAGTCAATATCAGTGAGGAACTTGCCACAGACCGCTGGGCTAGGCTATGTTTATCCCGTTCACAAACACACAGTTAGGATTGTTCGTGTGCACTATAAACGCGTAACAAGCACCATAACATAGCTCAAAGTTCTCTTGCCCGGGCGTTCTTTACTAGTTCAGTATAGTGATGCCGTCCGCTGAGTTGTCAAGCCCAACCTATGTAATTTATGAATTCCGATCGTTTTGATGACGTCTCCCCCGCCAATGTTTCTGGCGTAATCATTTATATCCATTTCTCGCTTGTGAAAAGTTTTCTACCGCCGGCTACAGCCTCTATCAAAGCCACTATTAACAAGCTTCTGCAGATCTATCTGCTCCACTCTAAGACTCCTTGAGTTCCTCGCTTTTCCATTTCTAATAGCTCTCATATGTCAAACTACACTGTTGTGGCCGCTAAATTGACCCGCCTGACAAATGAATATACGAACGTCCGCACAGTCTGACGACGCCAGAGGATCTGACGCCGGCGAATCTATGCAACTTCGCTAACAACGTCGGGAACGTTCAGTAAGAGAGGCACTTCACAGCGGTCGTGGCAGCAGCCCAAACGCTAGTTGTCGTCGTCGTTGCTCTATGTCTCCCTTTTTGCTTTGGTTTTTTTATGGTACGATAGCGACATAGCCAGGTCGTAGAGACAGCCAGCCAACGGTGCGTATCGCTCTTCTGTCAGGCAGGCCACTGACTCGCACCATTGCGATCCAGCCACGGTGATACGTGCATCACCGGTATAGTAGAATAGTACTAGCAGTTTGCGTTATGTTAGCGTCGACGCAAACTGGTTTCACTTAAATCTAACAGAGGTGTAGGGGCAAAGCGGCGTATTTTTCACGCGACACACAATTTTCGTCTCGCACTAGAAGAAGCCAATCATTTACAACTATACTTCTCCAGACGCGAAGCTTGAAACATTGACACCGGTGCACCAGCAGCCACCGTTTCTGTAGCATTAATAACAGCATCTATAACAGCAATATCGATGCTATCCCTCCTGCTGCCATTATTGTTCCAGCGGAACCACTGATTGTTTCCCCATTCGGCTGAATCTTTCTGGCGATGGCCACCTCTCTCCATTCCGCCGACGCCGTTCCTCTCGCGAGGGCGACTTCGCCGATCGTAGTACTGTCACGCAACGTGCTTGTATCATCTAATACCCTGAACGCAGTGCGAAACAGCGTTCTGTGCCTGGCCGTTTTTGGTCTTGTTGATTTCAGAACCCAAAACCGTTACTACGGTTGAGGGGGGCTGTGGCTATGTTACTATGCAACTCAACTGTTCGACAATATGGCGCTATTATTGATGTTGACGCTGTCGTTGCTACTAAAATGGCGCGTCTACTTTTCCTTTTTCGTCGGCAGAAACCAATTCAATTGGCGCAGCTTTCGCGCATATGAACACCAACTACCACGCTCAGCAATATTGGGCTCTAATAGTCCGCCCATAGTTGAATCACAGCAGAATCGGAAGTATTGCCTAGTTATTCTGATAGACAAGTTAGGTATTATTGTTAGATTCAATACACTGACTTTGCCTTTAGTTCGCTTATTGATAGGCCGCATAAATAGTCTTCCCGCGTGCGTATCTTGACCACTTTCTTGCCTCCGCCATAGCTGCGGTTGCCAAGGTTGCTACATGTTTGTTCGGTGATTGTACCATGAAGACGGTAAAAGGTTGCGTGAACCCACGATCCACGCTGTTATATTGCGACTGCCATTGCTCATGCGAACAATAGCCCGGCTGCAACGTGTACGTCGTTCGAACGCTGCACAGAGAAAGGGTCATTTGGAGAGGGACGGACGAGTTAACCAGTGGCAGCTCGGGGGAAGGATCTGTGCTTGGTAAAAACAGCACAGGATATCCACGCAGTTACGAACACGATACAGCTTTCAATGTGCGTATAGATGCATTTACGTCGCAAGGATGCTGTAAATCGGGATGAGATCTACAACGAGCCTGGTTATGGTAAACAAATTAGTTTCAATCATAGTATGACATAGGGTAGCCTCAGTAACCTAGGTAACTGGAATAGAGCTGAGAAGTTAGGACCGGGGAGCGGGGGTCTATCTGGATGTCTACGTCGGTCTGGGCGTAAGTTCGGAAAAATGAAAATAACTGGTTATTGAATAGGTCCAACAATACGAAATTACAGACGACGACCTACGTATGTGCCCTATATCAACTCGGACGGCGCGGAGCCTAGGTTGGGAATAGTTTTCTATTCAGGGCTACAAAGGCAGTGACTTCAAGGTAAATCTCTGATGCCTTTGCAGAAATTAAATAACACTTTCCTTTTTCTATAGACATGCGAAGAGAAAAATTCAGGCTTCTTTACTCTTTTCGTTATATGCCTGGTCATATGCATAGAACCTCGCAATCTTAGATAAAGGGCAAGCTAGATACTTAGTGGCATGTCGAGATCGGCCTAGAATATTACTGGTCCTAGAATGTGTCCGTTATTTGAAACTAAATATGAATCATTTTATTTCAAGCTGCACATGGGAACTAAAATCTAAAAGCTTCTCAACTCCAAAAAATAAATTTGTATTCTACTTAGTACTGTAGTAGCATTTCGTTCGACTAGTTTGTGTTCGGTAGGTGCTGGTCACGGAAGCGTTAACACCTTCAATCAATGTGTCATATATTAACAATTGAGGACATATGTTAACAATTCGATATAAAATAAGTGCTTAATAACGTGACTGAGAAAGCTTAATAAGGATTCGAATCTTGTTCTTTGAAAGGGTATTTGTGGTGCGCGTAGTAATGACCATGGACGGGGGCTGACTATCGGGGTGTTTTCAAGCTCTTGTCAGCTCTATTGGCATTTAAACTATAACTAGTTTTAGTTCGATATGATAGAGAAGGCGGCTTTCGAGGGTACGCAGGCCACGCCACAGTTAATGTCAGCAGGCTGCAGTCGAGCGTTAGGACTGATATCAGGCCTCAAATGTTTGCGAGAATCCGTAGAATTTACAGTAACGTTGGGTGACCAAGTCGACATAGTACTAGCATGTGCGTTTATATAAAAATACTCCAATTTTAACACTCTATCTGGATATGACCTGACGCGAATCACACTAGCTAATTAGAAAGAGATAAAAGTTAAATTGAAAGTTACAATGGAGCAACATTCCGCCAGCCGAAATCGTTTATACATTAGAATAGATGTTTACACAAGTTTTTACAGTTTGGGTTGTATTGCAGCTGACTAAATGCGCTTTTCTAGCTAGCAATATACGTTATTTATTTTTGTGACAATTTTTTAACAAAATGAAAATCGAATCTAATACTACTCTTGATTCAACTTTCCTTTGACCAAGCAAGTTAGATCGGCAAAGGTTCACAGAAAACCGGCCAATCAGAATAGGCATTAAGTAGTGCTTTATGGAGCTGTGAATCCTGTTTCCATTGATGGCATTATCAAAATGGCTCTAATTACTTCACGTCCTAGTTGCGATATGGTCCTGAATCTAGTTTTCGTTTGTGCCTTCAAAGCACAGTCTCTTCGTTCCTTTTAGGGCTCCTTCAACCGATTTCTATTCGCAGCAGAAATAGCCTCAGTATGTGATGCTCCATAAGAATTCGTGTTATTTGGACAGTGTTACGTTGAGGAATGCCCAAAATCATTTTTATAGTGAGGGTTATCACAACCTAAGACAGAGTTTTATGAAAATTGAAATTGACAAAATAAGGGATATTCTGTTTATCCGTTGTTCATGATACCGGCTCATTAGGGACTAGATGCTTTTCGATTTTAGATCGAGTAGTTATTATCTAAACTAACGTCTATGAGGATTGGCATTGCTTCGAAAATGATAACGGAGGCTCGAGGGAAAAGTAAAACGTATACAAATATGAATTTCCTAAAAATTCAAGGCGTACCTACCTTAATTTTTTTTCAGAGGGGACTGTATCAGAACACTCATTTCACTCGTACTCATAAGGATTAACTAAATGTTCTCATCGGGGAATCCAGATGCAGATTAATGATTTAAATGCATTCATTGAAGGCTTAGAAAAGCTTCAGTAGTTTTTATATTTTATAATTAATCATGAATTATTTTCCAACATACGAGAATCTTCATGGCATTATCGCTCAGGATACAAATGATAATCAATGCTAGAAAACTAAAAAAAAAAGAACGGTGACGACTTCTTTCCTGACAAAACAGCAAATATATATAGCAATAGCGTCCATTAGTAAATCGAAAATGCACCTCTAACGATTCTGTACAACGCTTTCTAAAGCAACCTAGGACCCCGAGTATACCCAGGCCGGGAAAAATACTTTTGCCCTCATCTATTATCACGAAATGGGTAGATTACAATAAAGTAGCGGTGCTACGCGAGCTAGTAGCAGAAACGAGATTCTTGTCAGAGATACCCTTTCTTATTAACCGCATGACAAAATCAGGATTAATACCGCAGGCTGTATTTATTATACAGTACCAGCAGACGAATTTACTATGTATAGACTTAGCGATATACTTATAGACAGAGCCAAGTACAGATTAATGGTACTTTTTACAACAAGGAATTTCCCTCGATTTTAGGTCGTACCCAGACAAACATTATATTTACCTTTATGTTCGCGACCCAAAGCAAAGTCTGACAAAAAAGGTTTCCCAGTAAGAGCCTTTTTTAAGTATACCTGTTCCCATGAACCATTCGGACTTACAGTCGAAATCTTTTGATGCGATTGGTTTTTATCTAGGTAAGCCGTTGCGTTCATGCGGAAGACGGGCTATCAAAAGTACTCACTTTTTATTGACTTAAGCTCGAATCTTCTTTCTAGACGTTTTTGGCTTAACTGAGTAACTTGCTGCGTCAGCTAAGGCTACTTAATCTTTCTCACAAATGTAACTAGGCTCATTTTGCTGCGTGTCTCAAGTTCGATTGCGAGCGGTGAGATCGAAAATCGAGCGGCCATATTTAGAAAAACAACCGTCACAACTGTATTCGCGTAAGATCTTGACAAATATATCGAACGTACAGATCCATATGATGAAGGCTAAGAAAAAAGAGGACCAATAAACTAAAGGCGGTTAATTTTCGATATGCGCTATCTAGAGCTCATTGGTATAGCGGGGCAGGAAGTACCGATTACAGCTGAAACGCAAGATTCAAGGGAAACATGTGTCAAGATAATAGTGGTTAGGCACAAGTAAATTACATAAAAAAAAAAATAGTTCGGAAAATGCCAGATTCAAAATAAACGGAATTGTCTAATGGGAGGTTCTACTTGACTGTCATCAAATACTCGGTAAATTTAATAATTTAAACCTTCATATTTTTTTCCTAGCACACGCATTGCTCGTAAGCAAAATTTAAAAAAAAATGTAAATAATAGTACAGTGATCCAGTAAAAATAGAGCCGCTCTCTGCTCATTACGTAATCATAGACATCGTGTGCCGTTTACGCTTATGGACTAGTTAATTCGGACACTATTCTGTAAGCGCCAAACCTCTTATTACATAGATTTAATTAAAGTTTAACACATTTTCCTATAAATGTCTTATAACTTGTTTTTACCTAGTCTATATTATATAAAAAATTATAATTGTTTATATATACTTTAAGTATACTTGCACATACTTTGAGTTTATGAGCAGAAACTTCATAAATAAATCATCAAAGACGATGATATATCACTAACGCATATTTTAGCCCTCACAACTGTAAATAATAAATATGTTATTTAAGTGATTTTATGATTAATTCAAGCTGCAGTATAAATTTTCGGAAATAATTGCTCTTACCAAATGATACGCTGTCTCACGGAATCACTTCTACATGAATACAATAGAGATGTTTCTTTTATGAAAAGCCACTTTCTACCTGGGACAAACAAAACTTGTGTTCCTCTAGATACAAATAGCCGCAAGCTGCCGATGTACTATTCTCGGTACTTACGGTGCAAAAGTAGGTAATTAGGCCCCTTTCAGTTTCGTAAATTATGTACGTAATGGAAAGCTGCACTATTGAAAACTAACGAAGAAATGGAATATTGGTTTTAAAGTAAATTTTGCTTAAGTACACAACAATGCAGATCCGGATAAGAGGGTTGCCGAAAAAAAATCTACTAAAAACAAAAGTACACGAAGAAGTTTCGTGTGGCTGGCGTTCGGTGGGCCCACATAGTACAGTCGTCCTATGCGAAAGGGCAAACATTTTTTAGGATTACAAAAGCTACGGATATATACAGTTATTAGTATTAATGATACCATTAGCGTGAATCTGTGAATTGGCCTTCATTCATTCCAAGAATAATTTAGAAGAATTTAGAAGGCGTAATCATCTTTTGATATTCTTCAAATGCAAATTCAAGTATTGCACTAAAACGATATTCTTCCTGGGTAAAAAATACACTACGAGAGAGTGAAAGAGACCCTTACAAAGGCGCGCAGAAGAAATAACTTGGCTACCGTGTATTTTTTAAAAAAAAAACAATTGATTTATACGTGCATAACGATCAATACAGTTACTGCCGGAAAACACAAAAATATCCACAGTTAAATACTAAGCCAAATCTAGCTAGAACTTACAGAAAGCCAATACGATGTTATAACTCAGAACAGGCCATGGCTACAATATGGAAAAATCGATTCATCTGCCTGGCCCTTATTGGCAATTATTGTTCCGTTCACGCACGCATAATTCCTA